TAGCTACTATGCAGAACAGTATAGAGGTTCCTCAAAAAACATGAAAATAGTCAGTTATCAGTTCTGTCACTCAGTCATATCTGACTCTTTGTGACCCCATGGACTGCAGCTTGCCAGGCTTCCCTGTCCATCACCAATGTGATCCAGCAATCACACTCAGGAGCATATAATCCAAGAAAATGTTGAACTACAGTTCAAGAAAATAAATGCATCCCAGTGTTCATTGTAGCCAGGATGTGGTAGGAACCAAATATCCATTGATGCAGAAATGGATAAAGAAGATTTGGTACGTATGTATAATGGGATATTAGTCATGAAAAAGAATGAAATAATGCCATTTGCAGCAACATGTATGGACCTAGAGATGGACACACAGAGTGAAGTAAGTCAGACAGAGAAAGACGAATATTGTATGAAGTTGCTTATATGTGGAATCTAGAAATAAAAAATGGTACAAGTGGACTTATTTAAAAAAAATAGAAATAGTCACAGATGTAGAAGACACATTTATGTTTGTCAAGGGGGAAAGGTGAGGGAGGGATAAATTGGGATATCTGGATTAATACCTACATCCTACTATATTAAGGTAGATAACTAGTAATAACCTACTGTATAGCACAGGGAACTCTTCTCCATACTCTTCAGTGTCTTACATGGGAAAATAATTTACAAAATAGTGAATATATGTATAATATATATGTATATATGTATACATCTTGCTATACAGCAGAAAGAAACTAACACAACCTTGTAAATCAACTACACTCCAATGAAAATTAATTATCAAAAGGTAAACAATCCCCCCACCACCACCACCGAAGAGATCAATTAAGCCACCTAAAGTGATATTTATATTACATAATACTCAATTTTCTATTGGGTGGCTCCCTGGTGGCTCAGAGGTTAAAGCATCTGCCTGCAATGCAGGAGACCTGGGTTCGTTCCCTGGGTCGGGAAGATCCCCTGGAGGAGGAAATGGCAACCCACTCCAGCATTCTTGCCTGGAGAATCCCATGGATGGAGGAGCCTGGTGGGCTACAGGCCATGGGGTCGCAAAGAGTCGGAATCCATCTTGCCATTTTTAAAGCATAATTTGGTATGAAAATCATAAAAGCCATACTGTTGAACTCATAGAAGCTTTTCTCACTACCATTTATAGTTGTTACTGTTCTTCAGTCGCTAACTCATGTCCCACTTTTTGAGACTCCATAGACTGCAGGGCACCAGGCTTCCCTATCCTTCACTATCTCCCAGAGTTTGCTCAGACTTTGAGTCAGTGATGCTATCCAACCATCTCATCCTTTGACCCTCCTCCTCCTGCCAGCATCAGGGTGTTTTTCAGTGAGTCAGCTCTTAGCATTGAGTGGCCAAAGGATTGGAACTTCAGCTTCAGCATCAGTCCTTCTAATAAATATTCCGAGTTGATTTCCTTTAGGATTGACTGGTTTGATTTGCTTGCAGTCCAAGGGACTCTCAAGAGTCTTATCCAGCACCACAATTCAAAACTATCAATTTTCAGTGCTTGGCCTTCTTTATGGTCCAACTCTCATATCTGTACATGATTACTGGAAAACCCACACCTTTGACTATATGGACTTTTGTTGGCAATGATGTCTCTGTTTTTCAATACGTTGTCTAGGTTTGTGATAGCTTTTCTTCCAAGCAGTATCTTTTAATTTCATGACTGCAGTCATCGCCCATGGTAATTTTGGAGCCCAAGAAAAGAAAATATGTCATTGTTTCCACTTTTTCCCCTTCTACTTACAATGAAGTAATGGGACCAGATGTTGTGATCTTTCTTTTTTGAATGTTGATTTTTAAGCCAGCTTTTTCATTTTCAATTTTCACTCATCAAGAGTCTCTTTAATTCTTTTTCACTTTCTGCATTAAAGTGGTATCATCTGCACATCTGAGATTGTTGATATTTCTCCCTGCAATCTTGATTCCAGCTTATCCGTCATCTAGCCCTGCATTTCTCATGATGTACACTGCATATAAGTTAAGTAAGCAGGGTGACAACATACAGCTTTATTGTACTTCTTTTCTAATTTTGAATGAGTCTGTTGTTCCATGTTTGGTTCTGACTGTTGCTTCTTGACCTGTATACAGGTTTCTCAGGACACAGGTAGTGGTCTGGTATTCTCATCTGGTATTCTCATCTCTTTAAGAATTTTCCACAGTTTGTTGTGATCCACACAGTTGAAGGCTTTAGCACAGTCAACGAAGCAGAAGCAGATGTTTTTCTGAAATTCTCTTGGTTTCTTTATGATCCAGTGACAGTTGGCAATTTGATCTCTGTTTCCTCTGCCTTCCTCTAAGTCAAACTTGTACACCTGGAAGTTCTTGGTTCACATACTGTTGAAGCCTGCTTGAAAGATTTTGAGCATTACCTTGCTAGTATGTGAAATGAATACAATAGTATGATAGTTTGAACATTTTTTGTCATTGCCCTTCTTTGGAATTGGAATGAAAACTGACCTTTTCCAATCCTTTGGCCACTGCTGAGTTTTCCAATTTACTGACATATTGAGTGCAGCACTTTAACAGCATCACCTTTTAGGATTTGAAATAGTTCAGCTGGAATTCCATCATCTCCACTAGCTTTAATTGCAGTAATGCTTCCTAAGGCCCACTTGACTTCACACTTCGGGATGTCTGACTCTAGGTGAGTAACCACACCATCATGGTTATCACGGTTATCTGGTGATAACCATGATATCACCAGATAATCATGATGACCTTAAAGGTCATTAAGACCTTTTTGTGTAGTTCTGTGTATTCTTTCCACCTCTTCTTAATCTCTTCTGCTTCTGTTAGGTGACTATTGTTTCTGTCCTTTATCATGCCCATCCTTGCATGAAATATACCCTCGATATCACCAGTTTTCTTGAAGAGATCTCTAGTCTTTCCCATTCTATTGTTTTCTTCTATTTCTTTGCATTGTTCGTGTAAGAAGGCTTTCTTATCTCTCCTTGCTATTCTCTGGAACTCTGCTTTGTTCAGTTGGTTATCTTTCCCTTTCTCACTTGCCTTTTGCTTCTCTTCTTTTCTCAGATATTTGTAAAGCCTCCTCAGACAACCACTTTGCCTTCTTGCATTTTTTTTTTTGTTTTCAATGCTTTTGGTCACCACCTCGTGTATAATGTTATGAACCTCTGTCCATAGTTCTTCAGGCTTCTCTCTACCAGATCTAATCCTTTGTATCTATTTGTCACCTCTACCATATAATCATAAGGGATTTGAGTTAGGTCATTCCTGAATGGCCTAGTGGTTTTCCCTACTTTCTTCAGTTTAAGCCTGGATTTTGCAGTAGTGAGCTCATGACCTGAGCCACAGTCAGCTCTGTTCTTGTTTTTGCTACTGTATAGAGCTTCCTCCTGTTAATCACATGAAATACAAACCTTATGTTTTTGAGGAATAGTCAGTAAAAAGTGCTTTTTAAAAATAATGAGTACTTAATTTTTTAAAATTAATTACTAAGGGACATTATCCTACTGCTTAAGAAAATAAATTTTAATGTGAAAATAGGATAGTAGGTTCATACTTTGGATTTTCCATTGCTTATGTTACTATCACATTAATACAAATGTCTTAGTGCCAAGATCAGTTGTTCAACATTATGGGAGCATTTTTGACTATATGTTGTAGAACTGGTTCCATAGTGTATGAAGCTGTCACTTAGACTGTATTCTCTTCATAAGTCTATAAAATTACCATACATTTTATTAACAGATGTGTAATTATTAGTTTCTCTTATCTGTGGCAAAGTTGTAATATTTCTTGTTCATATAGTTATTAATTCTGCTTTACAAGAAGTAAATTTTGCCCTGATCTATTAGGCCATTGGTTTGTCCACAACATATTCAAACTTTATTATTATAGGATCCGTCAGGTACTGATTTTCATTGATAATCAATAGATATTTTCTTGAGATAATTTTTCTGTGATTTACTTGATGATTTTTTATAAACTGTTCTCTATGGGCACCATAATGCTTCCTCATTACTAGATATGACCATTATACTAGTTATGTACTGAAAGTCATAGAACATATTCTGTTGAGAATATCATCAAGATACTCAGAATGGTAGAACACAATGGAAAAAGGAGAGAAAACATGGTAATGAAATTCTCCTCTATACTTCTACTATTTGGTGAAAATTCTGCAGTAGAGTACAGAAGATAAGTACTAGAATATGTTCTCATTACATGCCTAAGTTTTGTCTTTGTTTTTTATATTTTCCTTCCCATTTTTCACCAATTTAACATGTATTAAAGACCTAGAATTTTATCTTTGTCAAAAAGTATTTCTTCCATTGCATTTTTTTAACTAAAATGAAATTCACATGACATAAAACCAACCATTTAAAAGTTTACAGTCCAATGACATTCAGCATTTTCACAATGTTATGCAATCATGACTGCTATCTAGTTCCAAAACAAGAATAATAATCATTTATAGAATTTAGCATATGTAAAAATCTACCAGTGTATAACAGTATAAATATTTACTACCATACATGAAATTTCCTTATTAATAGAAAGTTGCATTATCTTGATTTTAAAGAAAAGAAAATAAAGTTCAGATAGCTTATGTAATTTATGCAGAAGATCATACAAATATGTGTTGCTTAAACAAGATGTCTATTTCCAAAAGCCGTAGCCATCCCTCTGTGGTAACATGCCTTCCAGCTCACCTTTTATTAGTGAATGAACTTCTAAGGCTGCCCGGCATTTCTGTGTGCCAGCATGCAGTATGCTGTTATTCTAGTCTCATATCTTGTCTGCTGTTATTCTAGCAGCATGCTGTTATTCTAGTGTGCTGTTTCAGAGAAAAAAAATTGTATATTTGAGAATTTGCACAATATAGGCTCCTAAGAAATGTTTAAATATTTTCTTGAGATTAACAGATGTGTTAACTATTCCTAATTATATTTAGCAGCTATCATGTGAGAGAAACTTTTATTTTGGGTACTGTTTACCTTTTATTTGCCTTTCAGATATGCTGCTTCTGTAAAGGATGGCTCCCAGTATTTTGTGCTCTTGATTGTGACAGATGGTGTTATATCAGATATGGCTCAAACTAAGGAGTCCATAGTTAACGTAAGTAGGAGTCATTCTGTCTTGGGCTGGCTAAATGAAAGCATGGTCCTTAGGTTAACTTAGGTTAACTAACTGAAGTTTTTTTAGTTGACTTAACAGTGAAACAAAATGCCCATACCTTCGTAGCCAGTGCATTATCTAGACAACTCACACACATTTGCACAATTCATCCATGAGGACTAAGCTAAGAAGTGTGAATAATTGTGTTTTAACAAAATTATTTCAAAAAATTTAAAATAAAAATAAATAATAGCATCAACTTCATGTATATAAGTGTGTTTATTAGTTTGATGTATATAATCTCACAATTTGTACAGAATATTTCTTAATATTTGCATTTCAGTTACAGGAGAACTGTTCTAATTTCTATGTTTATAGAACTGGATGGGAACTAGTTTCTAATTATGTGCTACATTTATGATTAATTGATTGTCTTCTTTATTAGACTATAATCTATAAAATCTATATTTACTAGATTGCAATCTATAAAATTATATCTGGTTTTACTTACCTTTCTATATTCAGGTTGAGCAGTATTTGACACAAAGTAGACATTAGTAAAAATGGCTGTGTGAAAGATTATTTATCATATTTCATAATTATTAATGGAATATTAATGACATAATTATTAATAGCATATAATTAGCTGTTTGTGTGAGAAAAAGTTACATGTGGGAAAAAATCAAATATTTGTAGACATATTCTCAGCAAAACCAAACACAAAATGAAAGAGAAGTAAAAGCTTGCACATTATGTGGCACATTATCTTGCATAGTATGTGGGAACCTGGATGGAAGGGAAGTCTGGGAAAGAATGGATATATGTATATGTATGGCTGAGTCCCTTCACTGTTCAGCTGAAACTAGCCCATTGTTAATTGGCTATATTGGGCATCCCTGGTGGCTGAGATGGTAAAAAAATCTACCCACAATGCAAGAGATCTTGATTTGATCCCTGGGTCAGGAAGATCCTCTGGAGAAGAGAATGGCAATCCACTCCAGTATTCTTGCCTGGAGAATCCCATGGACAGAAGAGCCTGGCGGTCTACAGTCCATGGGGTCGCAAAGAGTAAGACAAGACTGAGCAACTAACACTTTCACTTTCACTTCTATACAAAATAAAAAGTTAAAAAAAAAAACTTGAAAGGTGTTTCTCCAAAGGAGATACACAAATGATCAACAAGTTAAAACATCCTCAACATCACTAATATTTGGAAAATGCAAATCCAAACCACAGTTAGATATCACTTCACACATGTTATGGTGGCCAATATTAAAATTAAAAAAAAAAACTTAAAAAATAAACTAATCGGACATGTACTGAAAAACAGTTATTCATATTTCAATGACCTTTCTGTTGGTGGATCTCATAGTCTTACCATAAAATTATTTAATCATACTGATAATAACTTTCTATAATTATCATTTGTAGTCACACATTTACTATAAAAATTGCTTTTCCAAACCATAACTATAAATGAAATAGAGTGCTACTTTTTCTTCCCAGGTGACCCTATTGGTAAAGAACCTGCATGCCAAGGCAAGAGTGGCATGGGTTCGATCCCTAAGTTGGGAAGATCCCCTGGAGGAGGGCATGGCAACCCACTCCAGTATTCTTGCCTGGAGAATCCCATGGACAGAGGAGGCTGGCAGGCTACCATCCATAGGCTTGCACAGAGTCAAACACAACTGAAGCGACTTAGCATGCATGCACGTGCTACTTTTTCACAAATATGGTATCTTTTTTCACCTTTCAGTTAACAAAAAGATCTTCAAATAGAGAGAGAACATGAAAAAAGAGTCTAAAGATACCCAGAGTCAGCTTAGAAAGATTTTGTCTGAGAATAGCAAGTGTAAGCAAATGCTCAGTACTTTTTAAAAAAATGTATTATCCAAGACTGGTCATTCCTGAAGAAAATCCAAGTGAATTAGCATATGTACAGAGTTCAGAAAAAATAAGAGTGGAGTCAAGTATATTATTCTGTGTTAATATTAAATATGTCCAAAAGAATTTTAGTGAACTTCTGTGAAAAAGTGTCAGAAAACTTTAGAATTATTCTGTTAATATTAAATATGTCCAAAAGAATTTTAATGAACTTCTGTGAAAAAGTGTCAATACTTAGGATATTATTTTCTTCCTAATTCTTAGTTGTTTTCCTAATTCAGTTTCTTAATTGTGTACAAATTGTGTATTCTCTTTGAAGGCTTCAAAACTTCCAATGTCAATAATTATAGTAGGTGTTGGACCAGCAGAATTTGATGGTGAGTAATAAAATTTCAATAGCATTCATTGGGAATTTATTAACTGTAAGTCATCATGTACTTACATATCTATCACTCCTTTTTTTGCATATAGGGATATGAGTGTGCATGTTGATTTGTATACTATATCCATGTACATACAGACATAGATATCACATAATGTAGTCTATTGAAGTGAGCAAATGAAAAGAATGTCTTCTGAGTAGTTCATTATCTCTCTAGTATAGGTTAATTCAACATGTAGCTTTCTGTTTTATTAAAGATGAATTGTTCCTCAAAATATTTCTTAATATTGAGTGATAAACTGAGTTTTTGTTCCTAAGGCAAAACAGACTGTGGGTTCCCTAAAAACTTTTAAGGGTGAGTACTAAATTAATAAACCACTATGTTGTGAAGCATAATAATGGATTTTCAGACCTTGGCTAGTTGATAGGCATTATCTTTATAAATATTTATGTTCTGTCCTGTGAGAGAGCAAAGTAAAATGAAAGTGGATCCGATCATCTGAAACTTAATAAGACTATATAATTATGCTAAATTCACTTATTGGGTAGTTTTCTGTTTCTGTTGGCTCAAGCCATCTTCAAATGCCAATTAGTGATGGGTGTTCATGTAACTAGTAATCTGGGTAAACTCTAAACTGAGTCTGCTTCTTGTTACCTGATGGATTCCTTTAAGAGAACTCTATGCTAGATAGCAACTGCATAGCCACATAATATTCACCTGATTCATGTGATTTTACATTGACAATGAGAGTATTTAGCTTGGAACTTTAGAAATTAGAATAATTTTAAAATATTTGAAACAACTTTTGGTATGTTACAGGTTAATTTAGGCACATAGGTGGCTAATCATATATGATCATCACTAAGATGATTCTTGCTTAACCCCCACCGCCTCCTCAATATGGACAGTAAAGATCTGTCAGTCTCAGGTAAAACATCACAGCAGTTATATTGCTGATCTTGGAGATTCTTTCCTTTGATTCCATATTTGGCTGGTCACACTTGGCATCACTGAAATCTTCCAGTTTCTAAAGCAATATCAGTTTAGCCCTGCCTGCTGTTGCTGCTAATATTTTCTCTGTTTTTGAATATTTACATCTGTTTTCATTGTCCATCAGACATGAATCTGAGCTACCTCTCTGGAGTCAAGAAAACTAAGACACATCTTTCTTGTTAATACTTTGTGTACTTGATCATCTGCATTGAGCAGTGATAGGCTACAATTCACAAACTTTACCAATTGCTGGGTTAAAGTAATTGATGATTTCCTTTTCAGTTACTAATTTGCTTTTGCCTCTCAAGTATGCACTTTTCATTGGGTACATCCCAGGTCTCCCAGAGTCTTATGGAAGGCCATTGTTAGGTGTAAGACCCCAGTCACTTGTTCCTCAACCTCCCACACATAATGTGTGAATACAGAGCAACTGACATTTCCTGGAGAATATTTCTGGTCATATATTTCTATTCAAAGCAGCAGGCGCAGCTATTTGGGTACTGCCCTCATACAGTAGCCACACTTATTTATTTTCTTCAATTCTTTTGTTCCCAATGAATTATTTATCAGAGTTTTGAGGTATGAAAATTCATTATTTCCCCCCTGACTTCTTGAACTAACTTAAAAAAGATATGCAAGAGTCACTCAAATAGAAATCAAAATTTAAGTTTAATTAATAGTAGTTCAGAATTGGAGAATCTGAGTTACCCTGTGCACAAACTCAGACTTCTTGTTTCTTTTCTGCCCCAAAATTAAATGACCCCACCTTTATCTCAAGGGCTCCTCTGGACAGGAGCAGAGCCTTGCCTATTTATCATGCCACAGGGAGAAATTGCCTTCAACCTGAGGATAGAGTACTCCAAAAAGAGATTCAAGGTCAGTTCCATTTCCCAATCTTAGTTATCCTATGAATCACTCTTCTCATGAGGAAGAGTGAGCAAAGATTATAGACATAGGGAAGTTGCCTTCCCATAGAATTCTTTCCTGGGAGTTAAAGTGAAATTTTCCTCTGGCAAGCCTATAAACAGGGAATTAGGGTCCTGAAACACCTGATTTTTGTTTTCACCCTGATGGAAGAAAATTTCTGAGTTACATTCAAGTTGGTACTATCTTATCAGAGGAGCCTTTTTCTAGGCACTTCCAAATCTACCATAAGTAAGTTTATATAGTATGCATATAAATTAGTAGGAAAAGACTGAAGTAAAACTTGCATATTTTCTCAGTTAGCTACATAAATCCAACATCTACATGTATTTCAACCAAGAGGTTTACATAGGCAAGAAATACAACATATTGCCATCCATTCTTTGAAAGTAGAGGAAATATAAATTAACTGTTAGATTAGTGAGTATTTAAATGTCTTATTTCTGAATTTCAATGAGAATAATTTAAACTTTCTGTATAATTTTTCAAAGAAATTCTTTATCCTTAAAATGCAACAAGTCAATGTAGTATCCATTTAATTGCCTTGATCCAAGTTTAGGAAAGGGGGGAAACTATAAGGGGTTCTAATATCATTTTGTCTCACAAGACTAGAAATAAATACAGATCTGTTTCTTATACATCTTTTTTCCAGAGAGGGGATCAGGTGGGGAACTGGGGCTTACAATTTCAGGCTTCTTGAGGACCAGATGATCTGAAAAATTGAAGGGTGTACATTTCCCTTTCACCACTTACATGCCATTTCTTTTCTTCTTGCTCTCAAATGTGTAGTTTCCAATTCTGCTACCTGCAGCCTTTTAACACAAAGGACATACTGAAAAGTGGGTGATATTTTTATAGCATCTCATTCTAATACATTATTGCCTGAATAACTGCCATTTTCTTTAACTGAAATGAAACACTCACAAAGACCAATGGGGATTGTAGAGGACCATGGAAGGTGAGGCCCAGAACATTATCTAATTTTTGTTTTCTACTTTTGAGTGAGTATAGGGTAATCATTACGAGTTATTACCAAATTAGATAATATAGGAGAAAATTCTCTGATCGCTGACATGTCACCATCAGTGTTCATTTACGTCTCAAAGTAATATGAAAATTTTGAAAACAAACCTAGAAGAAAAAAGAAATTAATTATTGAAAATATTTGAGTATATTGAATTTTCCTGTTTAGATCCCTAATAAATAGGAGAGAAAAAATATTTCTTTTGTATTTTGAATAATTTAGTTGCCTAACATTGGAAATTTATATAATTCACTAACTATTGACATATGTATCTAAGCAGATTACTGGATGATGGTTCACTATCAATTATGTGTACTTGCAATGTTTCACCCCAGATATTTATTCCTGAAAATATGTAGAAAAGTAAAACTTAAAAAACATGTTATTTTAAAAAAAAATACTTAAGGATATAAAGAACAGTTCAATGGTTGCCAGAGGCTTGCCAGGGTTGGAGGTGTGTGAAATGGGTGAAAGAAGTCAAAAGGCACAAACTTCTAGTTATAAAATAAGTAAGTCATGGGGATGTAATGTACAGTGTGGTGAGTATAATTAATATGTTGCATATATGAAGGTTGCCAAGAGAATAGACCTTAAAGTTTTTATCAGAAGAAAAAAAGGAATTTGTAATCATGCATGGTCAATTAAACTCATTATGGTGATCATTTCACAGTATATACAAATAGTGAATCATTACATTTTACTGCTAAAAATAATATGTTATTTTTCAGTTATACCTCAATCAAAAAAAAAAAAAAAAGGAAAAATAGTAAAATATCTTTAACTGAAATGCATTATCCAAGCACTGAAGAAAACAGTGAAAAGGTTAGGACTGTATTCTAGTGTTTTTTAGAGGGCAAAAAGCAGACAATTTCAAATGGCTGTCTGGAATCTGATGAATATCATGTGTGTACAAAATGAGTTATTAGTAAGAGAATTATACTTTAAGTACAAATTAACATTCCTCATGTAATTAGTTATTTACAGAATTCTCACCAAAAAACATTTAACTCTGGAAAATGTTCTCAGTTGCAGCATAACACTACTGTATACCAGCAATCCTGTTATATTACAGCATTCCCAAATAACAGTTGACCTATGTAATGTCAAAATTATTTTTAACCAATGAAAAAAATCATACCTCAGAAAAATCATGATTTATCCAGTCACTAAAAGATGCCTTTTTGTTTTAAAATCTATTCACAAAAAGATTACAGACAATATGATTGCATAGTTTGTTGTAATTTCAAAGAGAATAAAGTTCAAATTGTTATTGGAAATTCTATAATGATTAGTACCAAGTTTCTTAAGTTAGGAAAAAAAAACATTAGAACTGAATGAATTCATCATGTAAGCATGTAGCCCAGATTTGAGAATTTTTAGGATGGGAGATGTACCTAAAGACTTCTACACTGTATAGGCTCTCCTCACTTTTCAAAGCATCACATGAGGTCTTCGCTTGCTTTCTTCATTTGTAAAATTAGCATTCAGTTAAGTTTTGTGGAAGAAATCACTGCGGAAATGAAAGGATCAGAAAGCTTTCTGCCTTTACACAGGACATATTGTTACTTCATGCATCTTGATCTCCTTATTGCCTGCATTGTTAAGAGTATATGGCTAAAATGCATTGGATAAATTATCCTATTTTATTTTCAAGCAATGGTTGAATTGGACGGAGATGATGTAAGAGTTTCCTCCAGAGGAAAATATGCTGAAAGAGACATTTAAAAAATAGATCTTAGAATTATATATAAATATAAAAATTATATAAAGGGCATGTGTTATCATAGCAATATATAATAACGCAATAATTTGTATAATATAATAAAATATAGCATAATAGTAGATTATATGTTTCTATATATAAATATATATATATATATACACATGATCATAATTCTGTTAGAATCAAGAAAAATACTTAACTAAAGTCTACTATTCTGGGAGGGAATAGAGAGAAAAGAATCAGTTTAACTAAATTTTAACCAATACAGTAAGTTTATGATTGAAGCAATGGAGTTAAATCAATTAAATTTCTGCATACTTTAGAGTGTTTATATCTTTTAGGATGTCAGAAACAAAAAAGACTGTGAAGTACACCTTTTAAATAGGAAATGGAAGTCCCCGTTACAATTTAAGCACATGATTTAAAAGTTTTGAAAGTGCAAATAATGGAATTCAATATTATCTCCTAAATAATAACTTATATATTCACCCATAATCTAGTCATTAAGAGAATCTCTTTGGAATCTAACAGAATTTGGTTCAAATCCTGGATTGTCCTCTGTGATAACTTGGATGAGCTTTCTAAATTTCAGTGTTCTGGCATTGTTTTAAGGATTTAATCATTAATGTGTATAAAATAAATAACACTCAATAAAATGCAACAAAAATAATTTTTAAAATTAGAGAGAAAAAAATAAAAAAATAAAATTAGAGAGGGAAAATAATATAAAATAATTCATAACTATAACAAAAAAGATTAATCTTGACAAATACAAATGCATTGTTCTTTATCAGTCAGCAAAATTGTTTTAAGATAGAAACATCTGTATAACAATTTTTTAAGGAGACAATTAAATATGATTTAAACTTTTAACCTAATGTTCTTGGTAGAGTAAAAAGCACACACACATGAATAATTTGTTTAAAAGCATCTGACCAAGGGAACATGGTGATGTGGTCATCTATTTAAGAATCCCACAGTGTTTTGTTTTTATAATTAGACACTTTATTCACCTTAACCGGGTTAGCATAATTATAGATCCAGGTAATTGCACTTTTTTCTAAAAGTTTCTCCATAATATTTGGTTCACAATTTCCTTAAAATCAAATTACTGCAAGGAAGTATAAATTTGAAGTATAAATGTGTTATGTTGCTGTTTTAATGCATTTTTACAAAGTTAAAAGAGGCAACTTCATCTTTTATAGTATCATCTAAATGAAGCTTAAAGGAACTTGGCATTACTCCCTCCCTTAGAAGGTAGCTGCTTCCCAGGTGGCACTAGTGGTAAAGCATCTGCCGCCAACACAGGAGACACAAGAGATGTAAGTTCGATCCCTGGGTGGGGACGATACCCTGGAGGAGGAAATGGCAACCCACTCCAGTATTCTTGCCTGGAAAATTCCATGGACAGAAGAGCCTGCAGGCTACAGTCCGTGGGGTTGCAAAGAGTCAGACACACCTGAGCACACACACACGTTAGAGGGAGGTTAAGGCTGCTCATATCACCAAGGTTCCCTTTAGGATGACTAATATGTTACGTTAGCGACAACCAAGTTTTTTAGTTATTTTACTTATGAAACAAAAGTTCCCTTGATCATGAAAGTCTTTCATCTCTAATTGGATTTGCTACATTGGACAGAATATTGAGATAGGACTCAGGTCTATGAAATTATAATGTTGTCATTCTGATCTTGAACAAGTCAATAAATTTCCCTTAAGCCTTTCTTTCATTATCTACAGACTCCATCTGTAGATATAATGCATAAATGCATTACAACAGCAACATAACACATTTTTAAGGACTTTAAATATATATATATATATATATATATATATATATATATATATATTCTCATTAAAAGTCTGAATCTTGAGACTAATCTATCATCATAAAGCGACACTGAGGTCATCAAAGATTTTGAAGACCCCTGATGACATATAGCTAAAGACTCAAGGAATTGACTCAAGCTATTCTACCATATAAAGCTGAACTGAAAAAGTCATGAGATGTTACAGATACTGAACAGGATCTTCCCAGAGAATTAGTAGCCTCCTGAATGAGAATGGAATCTAGACTTATATGTCTATATTTATTTAAAGATACTTGATGAATCCTTTTCTAATCTCATGGAAAAGTTCCTAAATGCTGATTGTCTTTTAAAAATAGTTTGCAGGGTAATCATTTACATATCACATTGTATTCAAGAAGAATTAGCATTTTTTCTCTCACCTTAATTAAGATCTTGTAACATTGCACAATTGCAGGTTTCCTGGTTCTACCATTCACTAAAACATTTTTAAATGAGTTATTTTTAAGAATAGAAATATTCTTGAATATTTATAATATTGAGGTTGCAAAGACACACCAAGAATAGTATTGTCAATCTTCCTACCATCAGAAAATATCTAAGTCTTCATAATCAATGCTGTAAACACTGGTGTTTAAAATAATGTTGGAAAATAAGATCTATTTAGGCTGTCTTAACTTTTTGCTAATTTCGATTTCTTACACATTGCTAATCAAGTTAACACACTCCAAATGATGTCCCAAATTTCTTAAGTGGACAAACAAAAGCCTAACTGTCAATAGTAGAAGGTAGCTGAGTTCCACAGAAAGTTGGGAGTGGTAGATGGGATTTTTATTATTATGTCAAATATTAAGTGGCATCCAACTTCTCCATTGTTGTTGCTGTTCAGTCACTCAGTCTTGTCAGACTTTTTGTGACCCCATGGACTGCAGTACACCTGGCTTCCCTGTTCTTCGCTATCTCCCAGAGACTGCTCAAACTCATGTCAGTTAAATGGATGATGCCATCCAACATCTCATCCTCTGTCATTGCCTTCTCCTTCTGCCTCCTATCTTTCCCAGCATCAGGGTCTTTTCCGATGATTGACTCTTCAATTCAGGTGGCCAATGCATTGGAGCTTCAGCATAAGTCCTTACGATGAATATTCAGGGTGGATTTCCTTTAAGATTGACTGATTTGATCTCCTTGCTATCCAAGGGACTCAAGAGTCTTCTCTAGCACGACAGTTTGAAAGCATCAGTTCTTCGGCGCTCAGCCTTCTTTATGGTCCAACTCTCACATCCATACATGACTACTGGAAAAACCACAGCTTTGACTATATAGAACTTTGTTGGCAAAACATGTCTCTGCTTTTTTAATATACAGTCTTGATTTGTCATAACTTTTCTTCCAAGGACCAAGCGTCTTTAAATTTCATGGCTATAGTCACCATCCACAGTGATATTGGAGCCCAAGAAAATAAAATCAGTCACTGTCTCCACTTTTCCCCCATCTATTTGCCATGAAGCGATGGGACCAGATGCCATGATCTTAGTTTTCTGAATATTGAGTTTTAAGCCAGCTTTTTAACTCTCTTTCACCTTCATCAAGAGGCTCTTTTCATTCCTCTTCGCTTTCTGCCATAAGGGTGGTGTCATGTGCATATCTGAGGTTATTGATATTTCTCCCAGCAACCTTGATTCCAGCTTGTAATTTATCCAACTTGGCATTCTGTATGATGTACTCTGCATCTAAGTTAGATAAGCAGGGTGACATTATACAACCTTGATGTATTCCTTTCCCAATTTGTAACCAGTCTGTTTGATGTCCGGTTCTGACTATTGCTTCTTGGCCTGCATACAGGTTTCTCAGGAGGCAGATAAGGTGGTCTAGTATTCCCAAATTTAAGAATTTTCCACAGTTTTTTGTGATCCACACAGTCAGAGGCTTTAGCAAAGTCAATGAAGCAGAAATAGATGTTTTTCTGGAATTCTCTTACTTTTTCTATGATCCAGAAGATGTTGGCAATTCAATCTCTGGTTCCTCTGTCTTTTTTAAATTCAGCTTGTACATCTGGAAATTCTCAGTTCACATGCTGTTTGAAGCCTAGCTTGAAGTATTTTGAGCATTACCTTCCTACTATGTGAAATGAATGCAACTGTGTGGTAGTTGGAACATTTTTTTGCATTGCATTGCCCTTCTTTGCGATCAGAACAAAACCTGACTTTTTCCTTTATGTCAAATCTTAAGTGGCATCCATCTTCTTCATATAACAATAATACTTAATCATTTATTAAGTCCTTCATATGCTAGGCAGGCTAAGAGCTGTAACGTTACTTCACCTTGACCTTATGAGACAAGTACTTTGATTACCATATTTTATAAAAGAAAAAATGAAGTTTTATCTCTGTTGTCCATACTCACATAGCTAGTAAGAAGCAGTGAAATGAAAGTGTTAGTCGCTCAGTTGTGTCCAACTCTGCGATGCCATTGACTCCAGGCCCCAGGCTCCTCTGTCCATGGAATTCTCCATGCAGGGATACTGGAGTGGGTAGCCATTCCCTTCATCAGCAGATCTTCCCAACCCAGAGATCAAACAGAGTTCTCCTGCATCGTAGGCAAGTTTGTTACCATCTGAGCCACCTGGAAAGCCCAGTAAGAAGTAGAGTCACAGTGTAATCTTGAAATTTCTTATTCTAAAATATTAACAGGTATTTTGTATATCTTTGATTCTAAAACCTAAACATAGCATTTAAGAGAATACATGGCCTGACTCTAATCTTCCTTTTTAGGTATACACAAACGCAAGCAAACACACATGCCCACTTTGCCCAGGCAAATACAACAATTAATTGTCTTTGCATCACCCATTTCTGTAGTTCTGCTCTTATTTTCTCTTGTCGTTTTACCTGGAATACTCTTCCCCCTCATTGGGCTGACTAAAACCCTGCATTTTGAAATTTCCCAGTGTACACAACCTTTTACAAAGCTCTCCCCCTGAACACTTGAATAAATTTCCCCATTCTTTCACTTTATCAACATATTACTTTATATCTTCCTCAAAGTACTGGCCACTTTGCCTTTTAATGTTTATAAAAAAGGACACTGAAGCCCAAGATGGAATGTTAACCAACTTGTGAGAAGTTATTTAGGTCACAAGTCTGTAGATCCAAAAAGCCAACAGAGTTCTGATTCCAAAATCTTTTCTGTTATAA